ACCCGGTTGAGGAGATCCAGCTCCAGTGACTCCATGGGAGATGCGCCGTACATTTTGTTGCGCACAACTTTGTACGGCCTCCCCCATGGGTCCGCGTCCAGGGTGGCTAAGAACTCCTCTTTCGCAGAGTCCTTGGCCCGTCCTATTGCGACCTTCAGGGCCTGCCTCGCGCCCTGAAGGGCGCTGTGGAGCCTTCTCTCCTCACTTGGGGTGTGGCGCCTGCGGCGGCATCGGCCGTAGGCCCGCCGGGCCGCGGTACTGGCGGTGCGAAGGTCCCCAATTTCCGCGGTCCACCAGTACACACTCTTCTTGCCCGGGGTCCCTCTGACCCTAGGCATGGCCCGCTCGCAGACGGCGGTCAAGTCTTCCCTGAACTTGACCGCCCTCTGCTCCACATCGACGGTGGCCGGTGGGGGGGGGGGGCACCACGCCTGGACCATGGCTGCTTCCTCTGCGAGCTCAGGGTCCAGACGGGTGAGTGCCCATTTGGGAAAGCCCCTCCCGGGGGCCGTGTTGGAGGCCGTCGGGTACACCCACCCTAGCGAACATGCCTGACGCACTGCAGAAGCGAGGCAGTTTCATTAGATTGCTGAAGGTGTCATTGTGCTGAACCCGCAATGTGTTGTAAGTGTGTTTTGTATAGCAACACCAAAGACGGAACGTATAAAAACTCTGACCTTTAAACAGAGTTATTCTCGCATCCTCCGTACAACGACAAAACCTGCGTGCGAGCATGTTGCACCGGACGGCGAGGGACCGGCGCTTCCTCTCCATATCATCACCATCAGTTAATCAGTACAATAAAAATAGTGCCGGCTATTCTTTTATTTTATTTAAGATTAGCGCCATCTATCCATAATAAGAAGTTTTCATTTATAAATTAGTTTGCAACACACAATGCCTTCTATTATATAGTTCAGAAAATAATTTTAGACATTATTGCAAGGAAAAAAAAAAACTGACTTCTTATATTCCATATTAAAGAGGAATTAACTAATATGCACGGCGATTTACATAATATAAACTACTTCCAGTATTTAATTAATAACTATTGTAACTATAGTGAAAAAATAGGGTGGTTTGCATTAATAATAGACATAACTGGTTGAAGACTGTACCACCTCAGTCAACCGTGACCATGGGACCTTTAAAGGGCCCGAAACGTCGGTTTGTTTGAAAAAACAAATATACGCGATTTAAATCCGGAAAAACATTCCAATTTACGCTACATCGTTTTACAAATTATTTTATTGTAACAATATGGTTTTTATTAAGCTAAATTTATTATTAATTAATAATGGAAATTAGAATAAATTAAAACATATTGATTAGTACTGCAGTCTTATGTTTGTTTGGGATTTTTCATCAGAGGAAATACTGGATCCCAAACTGGTGGTACGGAGAAACCATTTTCCCTGTTGGAATTAAATGTTAATTTCAATGGCCTCTCACAGCATCCTGGGTAGATAACGAACTTCTTTTGCAAGGACCTGGGGTTTGTCAAACTTCATTGAATGTGTAGGTTTATCCATGACATGCTCGCAGACTGCAGACCTGTTTACGCGACGGTGTTTGACATCAGCTGTATATTCTTTGACGCGGGTACAAATACTTCGCTTCGTTTGTCCAATATAAGAGAGACCCGTTAAATGTAACATCCCCTTACAGGATGCAGGAGTTTACAAGCTTGACTGTGAGTGCGGTCTCTAATTTCCATTATTAATTAATAATAAATTTAACTTAATAAAAATTCATATTTGTATGAGAAATGTGCATAATTCCGGAATCGTCAACGAGAAAAAGGTGTATTTTTCACGTTATGTCACTAATAATAATAATCTCAGTACAGAGTACTAAAAAAACCGACCTCAAAAGTACGTGGAATTACATCTATTTGCCAAGTTTTATTGAAACAACCCCTAGTTCGCCACTATACAGGACTTGATACAGGAGGTAATAAAAATCGGTTCTCACTACTTAAAGTATAAAGAGAGAGAAAAACGCCTTGAATTGGAGAATGGCAAATTCAACCATTACATTAATTACTGCTTATAATAAAATTTAGGCGCTATTTCTAAAAATGAATCTTCATGCGTGAACAGCCACCCTAAGACGTGGATGATTTTCTTCAAAATGAAATGGGACCACTATGGAGGTACCCCAAAAAAAGAATCATGAAAATCGGTTCACAAATACTGAAGTTATAGCGCAGCATACATACAAAAAAAACATACAGTCGATTTGAGAACCTCCTCCTTTTTTTGAAGTCGGTTAAAAATAAACCAGCTGTTATGTGGCATCACATTGATAGCGCGATTAGACCGAGTTCACAGCAGGTTATCCAGCCGATCTCGCTGACCCCGACACTCTGAATAAATACGTTTTACATAGCCTGCCGGGCGCCGGGGGCGCTGAGATCTCACCAATTTTCTCAGAACAGAAAATATTTCATAATACGTTTCACTTCAGCGAATTGTCGGAGGGGGATATTGGTAAGTTGGTGGATGGTTTTGTTCATTCTAACTCTTGTGGATTTGACAAAATTTCAATGTACATGATCAAACTAAGTTTTTTTTTGTTTTTTTGTTTGTATTTTTCACATATTTACTTCTTGAGGCTACTTCTAGATCTGCCAAGATGTTCTTTTTTCTATCCTTATTTTTTCAAAAACATTCTAAATACAAATCTATATTCACTCAGCCAATACTTCTACTCATAGAGTAGAGCCTAGACTACAGTACCATCTTAGTATTACTCGACTTGATGACACACGCCCGTTTGATTGTGTAGTTGTAGACATATCGATAAAAAAAGTTGCGGTGCTGTGGTCTATCGGTTGGTGCATGCAATTGGTTCAGCTCTTAGTTTTCTGACTGCTGTCAAGTCGTGCAGTGTACTGATTCATGGGGTAAATTATCCATGTCGAAACCGTTGCCTATTAGTAGAGATGTGATACAAGACTCTATTCTTGGTCTAATTCTATTTGCTGTGTACACTGCGGGCATCGTTTCCGCTATAGCTAGTTGTAACTATCATATATATGCAGATGACACGCAACTGTATGTGTGCACGTACACTGGCTACAGCGGAGGAGGTAGCCGCTGCAACTACTGCATTTAACAGCGATTTGAGAGTAGTTGCAGATTGGTCATCGATGCACGGTCTGATTCTGAACCCGAGCAAGAGTGTTGCTATTATTTGTAGTACTAAACACCAAGACCCCTTCAATATGTGACATTCTTGTTCCATTTCAGAGCAGTGTTAGAAATCTGGGCATCGTGATGGGTTGTAACTTAAGATTTGAGGAACACGTGGGCAGTAAGTTTTAGGGCTCCTAAATCCTTATATATATAGAATTCGGCCGTACATCAATATTGCTACGAGATCTCTTGATGCTTTGGTTTTGTCACACCTTAGCTATTGTAATATAGTATACGGACCGTGCTTATTTGAAAAAACAATAATAATAATAATAACACTCACAATCAACATAGGCCCCGCACTAGGGAAACCCTGTGTCGCGGGTGCCATGGACACACACATAGACAACCACAAATTACACCCAAACTCACGAGAGAAATAAATGTAGGCCATACAAATATTTCTCCCGGCCCGGGAATCGAACCTGGGACCTTTGCGTGGCAGTCCGGCATGGTAACCGTTCGGCCACGGAGGCAGTTAAATTTAATTAAATTGCTTTAATTTATACTATAATGTTAATAATAAACATACAGAGGTTTCAGAATAAGGTATATGCATAAGGTATTGTTACTCTGTGCCAAGAAGAGACCATATTAAACCATATTTAATTAAAAAAAAGAAACTTAATAAGCGCAACTCTCAATGTCTCAAATATTACTGTTTTTTGCATAATATTGTTTAAAAAGCAAGTACCAAAATGTTTATAAAAAGCTTGAAGAAAGAGTTCATGATGAGAGGTTGCGCAATAGTGGTCTCTTGCTCAAAATACCAAAACTATCTTTGTCTGCGGCCCGGAGTTGCTTCAAACATTCTGCTTCTAAAATTTGGAATGACCTACCTCCTCCTGTTCGTGAGACAGTGTCTCAATATTGCGAACTTTTAAACATAAATGTTTTCTGTGGCTGTTTGAAAAACAATCTCGAGACGTAGGCTTTAAGAAGTAGGTTATGTTTGTATGTCTGTTCTGTGTATTTGTGTATGTGTGGTATTTAAATAACTTTTTGTTACTCAAATAGATTTTTTTCCTCTTTGTCTAATTATTGCTTGTGTTTAATTTTATTTACTTAGTGCCTAATTGTCTACTTATTATTTCATGTGGATGTTTGGTATTATGCTTTTTAAATTCTATTTAATTCATAATTCTATTTTATTTTTAGATTACTTACTTCGTCCAATTGTTGCATATGTCAAATTTTAGTCGCTTAGTGCCTAAATGTCTACAGTTATTTTAATTTTGATTTTTGTTGTACGTAACATGTAACGTATTTATTATTATTTGAATTGTGGTGTTCCATATTATGACGGGCCATGACAGAATAACAGCTGTATAATCAACATAGTCCTCAGATGCTGAGTCATGGACCCTTTTGACATGCTTTTATTTTGTTTTATTATTTTGTATGCTTCTTTTTTATTTTAATTGAATTTATTTTTACTAATTTTTTGTTGTTTTGTTTGAAATTTATGCATGTCAAATAAAACCTATCTTATTTTTTATTTTATTTTATTTATTTTACATTGTTACAATAAAATAATTTGCAAAACAATGTAGCGTAAATTGAAATGTTTCTTTGTAAAATTAAAAATATATATACCTTTAGGTATATTATATACTTCTTAAGGTATATATTATATGGGCCTGAAATAAATGTCTAAATAAAATAAATATGTATATTTAAAATTCTACAGATATTTAGAACAACGAAATTAAATACTGTTTCAAAGATAATTTCCGTTTTATTTTCAAGTAGCTTACATTAAACAACCCTGTGAAAATAACCCTATTTTTAAAATAAACAACAACTTTAGTTTCATGAGTTTTTTAAAAACATAATAAATTTACCAAAAATAAACTTAAGTTTTTGTTGTACTATCTGACATTCTATAGCTCTGTATTTGGCAAAATGAGTTCAAAGCGTCGTGCGCGACGACTCCCATCCCTGCACAGAGTTATTAGCGTTTAGAGTTATTTATTTTTACATGAAAGTAAAATCTGATGAATAATTTAAAGACATGGAATAAAAGTTGTTGTTTATGATGTTTTTAATATTGTCCTCGGAGGTTGTTAGTATTTTAAAATTAACCCTATAAATCCTTTTCCCACTTATACTACACGTGCTAAATATTTCTTTATCTGCGCTGCAAGAATAGAAACTTTTAAGTTTATTTAGGAACAAAAGGTCCAGGTTAGAATCTAGCTTCTATTTCACAGATGAAAGGGTTATGGTCTTCACAATTAGTAGAACTAATTAGCAAATCAATATCATTACTATATTCATGATATTGTGTACTTATGGCTCCGCAGCTTAACGTTGGTAGATGGCCATTTTCATACAATTTACTGTAAGAGTCTTCTATCTTTTTACCTGAAAAATTCAATACACAATTTTAATAGAACCCAAACCAAGACCACAAATAAAGGTTTTTCACTTCTCATACTCTAAAAGTACGTCAATATAGGCTTCCGTACCGGGAGTAACCTGCATTTTTTTAAGCCCCGCACTAGGGAAACCCTGAGTCGTGGGTGCCATGGAAGCACAAATAGAAAACCACAAATTACACCCAAACTCACGAGAGAATAAGGCCTCACAAATATTTCTCCCGGCCCGGAAATCGAACCCGGGACCTCTGCATGGCAGTCCAGCATGGTAACCGTTCGGCCACGTAGGCAGTTTAATCCCTAGGGAGTAAAAAGTATCTAGTGTTTTTATTTACTTCAAGTGAACTAGACAAACTCAAACAGTCAGTACTTGCTGTACTTTGTGCCAAAAGGTAAAGGTTCGATAAGTGAAACAATACAATTACAACTAAAACATCGCTTAAAAACAATTACAAAAACAAAAAATATATATAATTTGACATTATAAAATTTATCAAACCTACAGTTTCACAGAGATCGCTGCGCTGTGGAAAATCGATAAAAAAGCGCTTGTATGTCAACCATTTTCATTACGAAATTCTCACGCAGTTTTAGCTCGATTTCTGCACAGACGGCTCAAGTTGGATCCGACTACAAGCAGTCGTCACAGCACGTTGAGTACATGAGCCCAACACCGAACACTACTTTTTTTAGACAACCACAACACGAGTTCTAAAGGAACAAAATTCATTCTGGGGCACAACCCAGAATACCTAGACCAGGACCAATTTAGAAATGTTCTTTTCCCAAATTGGTCCTACCCTGAATCGAACCCGGAACCTCCTCATCCAGCGTCAGTAGTCCGACGCCATTGTTATTTTCTCGCGTTAGTGTGCACTTAATCCCGAAAGCCAAAGTCCGCTAACGTGGCATTTTGTTGAGTTTGTTGTATCTGTGTCGGGTTGGAAAAAAAATATCGCGAAAATTTTAGAATTTTGGTTTTTGATTTTGTGTAGAGCGTAAACGATGGAAATAAATAAATTATTTTTCCCTTCACTAGCTCGAAAAGGCTTTTTTTCTCATTAGCTATGTGCGCGTTTTTGGAATTCGAACTTGGCGATGGACTGTAACGCACCTAACCTTTTCCTACGATGAAAAATAACATAATGACACTACGCGATATGTCATGCATTACTTATTTATGTGATATAAATCCGTAGGTACATTTTGTTATTGTTAACATCAAATTGACAACGATAACAAATTTTGTTTATTAAATTATTTTAATTTGTCGAATAACTAAAATAATTTCAATAATCACACAAAATTATACAAGCAAAAATAAAAATTGGTGAGGTGCAAATTCATAACGCATCCGAATATGAACTTTTATAGTTCAACTGTTTTTCTTTCATCTTCTATTTTCCTTGCTATAGTGAGGTGAAAAGTTGTGTGTTTCACTCGGCAGTAACGTTGTTTTGAGTTTCGTGTCTTGGAACCCTCACTACATTCAGGATTCTATTTTTGAATCCTAGTATCCTTCGCTTGCTCAGGTTTCAATATAAGCACTCGCGTCTAAAAACAACTTTGCAGCCTTGCATAACAAATAATTATTATTTCTCGCAATCGAAGTGAAAAGTAAAGTTTCACCTCAAGACTAAATGCCAATAAAAGCTAACCACATGCTCGTTTTAGGGTCGTATTCCAAAACTTTACTCAATGCTCAAGTCAGGATTTGAACAGACTTGAGTATGATTTCAAGCACTAGAAATACGACCCTAACGGCAAGGACTTGAGTATGATTTTCAGTGCTCACTGCAATACTCACGTCCTGACTTGAGTATTGAGTAGAGTTCTGGAATACGACCCTTAGTCCCTCGATAAAAAATGTACTATTATTGATGTTACTTATGCAATAATCAAAATTTTATTATATTTCATCACATTTGTTACCTTTTAAAGTATAATATCTGTCAGAGACTTTCCGAAAACCCGAATGGAATATTTCTTTTCGTTTTTCGCCTAATTTTGGTAATAGATTCTTGATTATACCGGCCTCCGTGTCGCTTTCTACAACTACTAGAAGACCTCCTTCCATGTAACACGTTTGCAATGCATCCTTCCACGATTTTCTTCTTGGGTTGACTTTATAACATTTTTTGTTGTCTTCATAATATTTATAGCCTGCAATCAGAATATCACTTCAAACTTAGATATGTATACTAAGTTTGAAGTATAAATACGTGACGAAGACATCAACAAAAAGGCTTTGGTGTCCTTGTAAATTATATTTATTATTCAAAGTATGAGGTCTCCTATCGTCAAAACCTTTGAAAATTTAGACCTCATTTTGTGATACGTAAGTAACTCTGACCAACAAACTTAATGACATAACTTGAAAAAAAAAAGAAAACAGAAAAGCATTGTACGTAACACATTTATACACTTAAAACGTCTCATATCGACCTCTACACGCTTTGTACAGGGTCAAGAGCACGTCAAGCTTGACACTTAAAATTTAAGGTCCAAAGTACAAAGTGTCAAGCTTGACGTGTTCTTGACTGTACTCATTTTGTAAATATATAGCTGATTTTTTTACAGGGACAGTATGGGAAAAGCCGAAGCCATATAACATACCGGAAACCTGTCTTAGGAACCATTAAGTACGTATTTTTTTGTGAAATCAATTTTAGCATAGTAAGTTTTTTGGTAAAGTGTAAGTTGTCTCTAAAAATGAAAAAGAAAGAAAGAAAGAAACACAATTGTTTATTCCGTTTATATCTTACAGCACAGTGCGAGTAGCACATAATATGATTTGACACAATAATGCCTGAGTAAAATTGATTTTTTTTTAATGCTGACAGACTTAGTTCAACGTAAGGATCATTTTATTGTATTGGTAGAAGAAAACGAAACAGCGGAAGTTGGTCAAATTAATAAAAATTTTTTTTCATACAAAATGAGCAACATTTTTAACCGATTTAACCGAGTTATTGTGTATATTTTGTACCACCAGACAATCTGTCATTGTGTCATTATGGTTAAATATAAACACCATAGGCTGCCTCTTGTGACATCATTAATAACAATCCAGAGTTTTGTTTCATATTATTGTACAGTACCACTTTCATTGTTACTTTCGTTTTTCCATAAATACAATTCGCTGACATAAATCGATTAATGAATGATATTGACCAATATGATGATACCGACCTGATAATTTGTGATCCAGATAAATGTAAAAGTCTTCTTCGTCAACCTAACATGTACCTGAAAATATTGCAACAAAACATACGTAGCATAAATAAGAACTTTGATGATTTGTGTGGTCTACTTGCGAGATTAAATATTAATTGTGATATTTTGGTCCTATCGGAATGTTGGTTATCCTGCGACTCTAACATAAATCTACCAAGGTTGGATGGATATAAAGTGTTCGCTTCTACAGATTATTACAACAAAAATGACGGGGTTGCTGTTTATGTTAAAAGTATTATAAACTTCAAAGTAGAGGAACCGATTCTCTCAGAAGCAAATTGTTTGCTGGTGAAAGTCAATAGTGATACAGTTGTTGTTGCAATTTATAGGCCATGTAGTTTTAAAAATAGTAGTAGTTTTATTCAGTCCTTACATTTACTTTTAAATAGTCTTTCGAATTTTAGTAATATTATAATAGTCGGTGACATTAACATAAATATTTTGGATAATGATGAGCAAAAGACTGATTATTTAGATTTACTTATTTTTCATGGATTGACTCCTACATATAACAATACCACTCGAAATGGCAGCTGCCTGGACCATACTGTTGTAAAAACTAAACTACAATCTAAAACTTTAATGTTTCAAACTTCGGTAACTGATCATGAGTCAATTCTTTATTGTCTTAAAATGAAAGGAAATTCTAATCGAAATATAAATAAAACCATCAATAAAATAAAATATGATAATCTCATCGATGAATGTGGAAAAGTTGATTTTACGGAAATATTTAAAGCACATGACATTAATTGCGCCACAGACTCTTTCATTGCACAAATTCAAAAACTAATTTTAAACAATTCAATAAAAATAAAAGTACCGAGAAATAAAATTACTTTAAAACCCTGGATCACAGTAGGGCTTTTAAAATGTATTAGAACTAGAGATAGAATGCATAGGAAAATTAAAAAAGAACCAAATAATGACATTTTAAAAATTACTTACAAAAGGTACCGAAATTTTTGCAACAATATACTTAAAAAAGTTAAACGAGAATATGAGCAGAATGAGATAAATTTATGTAAAAATGACAATAAAAAGTTATGGAATACTATAAATACTATTTCAAATAGAACTAAAACTAAGGAGTCAACTATTGAGCTTTTGTCCGCTAATGTCAATAAAGCAGAGTCAATTGAGAAGGTAAATCAGTTCTTTGTTAGTATTGGATCTGTACTCGCAACCAAAATTCCGTCAAACATTGCCCCATTTTCTGATATTTGTATAAAAAACTTGAATTTAGAGTATACCTTATTTGTATTGCGGGAAACTGATAATGAGGAAGTAGAAAGAATCATTATGACCCTAAAGGATACCTCTGCTGGATGTGATGGCATTTCAGCTAAAGTACTAAAGGCTATTCGAAATGTTATAACGCCACCCCTCACTCATCTTTTAAATCGTTGCTTAAGTGAAGGTGTATTCCCGAACGCACTAAAAAGTTAGTAGTTTTACCGATTCACAAAAGTGGGGCAAGAGACAGTGTAAACAACTATCGACCAATTTCCATTCTGCCTTCAGTATCAAAAATTCTAGAAAAAGTCATTAATGAGCGTCTTATTAGCTACTTGGAAAATAAAAAGTTATTATCGGAAGGTCAGTATGGTTTTAGATTGGGAAAGTCTGCTGCTGATGCGGTCCAAGAATTTACAGACTTCATTAGTACCAAACTAGAATGTTTAAGTAATATAATGTTTATGTAAGGAAAACTCAAATGTTTAACGATTTTTCTTGACTTGGCGAAGGCGTTTGACACTGTCTCTTGTTCCAACCTTCTAATCAAGTTGGAAACTATGGGAATTAGAGGAAGTCAATTGCTTTTGATGAAAGATTATCTTACAAATCGTACCCAACGCGTAAAAATTGAGAACATTGAGAGTGAAGAGAAACCTATAAGTTGTGGTGTCCCACAAGGTAGCAGCTTAGGCCCTACATTATTTTTATGTTACATAAACAATCTGTGTCAGTTGAATTTGGACAACTGTAAAATTATATCATATGCTGACGACACCACATTGACTTTCTATGGTGATACTTGGCCTAACGTTTTTAAACTAGCACAGAAAGGGTTTAGCAAAGTATGTCACTGGCTGGCGGCTAACTCTCTCACCCTTAATGCTAGTAAAACAAAATACATTCCTTTCTCGATTCGCAATCCACCATTCCCCGATAATATAGATTATAAAATTATAGCTCACAGTCACACTGACAGCTTGTATACTTGTGACTGCAACTGTATCTCTATTGAGCGAGCGGCCAATATCAAATATCTAGGGGTCATAATTGATAACAATTTGACATATGAGGAACATATCAATGCTCTCACTTCGAGGGTAAGGAGGTTGGCTTATGTCTTTAGACAATTAAGAAACGTCGTTGATGCAACACTTTTAAAAAACATTTATGTAGCGCTTTGCCAATCTATCCTTTCATACTGCATAACAGCTTGGGGCGGGGCCTCAATGTCACACTTACTCCCATTGGAAAGGGCACAACGATTAATTTTGAAAATTTGTCTACACAAACCACGTTTGTTTCCTACTGTCGAATTATACCAACTAAGCGGGAAGTTAACTGTACGCCAGCTATATGTTCTTTTGACAGTATTAAGACGACATTCTAAAGTAGTTTTTACACCTGATTGCTCAAATGTACAAATACGACGGCATTACATGGTTTGCTCAACAGTAAAAACCAGAACTGCATTTGTGCGAAGATTTTTCAAGTATCAGAGTAATCGACTGTATAACATTTTAAATGAACGTATTTCTATTTATGGCAGGACTATGAGAGAAAATAAGCTGGAAATAACTAAATGGTTACTGACACTTAGCTATGATGAGACGGAAAGGTTGCTTTATGGACTAGTTTGATAAGTTGATGAAACATAGGTACTGATCATACTATTTACACACATAAATAATTTTTACACAATCATTACACATTCACATATTCACACAGTCATTATTCATCACACATACAGATACTCATAAACACACACACACAACAACACACTACAATAACTTACACATCTCCAATTTTCCATTTTTATATTTATTTTTATTTTTAGGTTTTTGCTTTATTTTGTTGTAGTTCTATGTTAGAGTTTAATTGTATTTTTTACTTGTTCTTCAATCTATTGTAACTTCACCAATGTATTTTGTTATTTACATGTAATAATGTTACGCAAAGGGAGACCTGGTGTCTCATAACACAGGTTTCTACCTAGCTTGAGCACCAGTCTTCCACAATAAAGGGAGATATAATTCTGTATTAATAACTTTAAGTTTCATTGTGGAAGAGAATAAAAATATTATTATTATTATTATTATTATTATTATTATTATTTCAAAAAAGAAGAGGTTCTCAATTTGACTGTATGATTTTTGTGACTGTTTTTTTATGTATGTTACGCGATAACTCCGACATTTGTGAACCGATTTTGAAGATTCTTCTTTTTTGTTGGAAAGGGGATACTTCAGTAGTGGTCCTATTTAAATTTCAAGAAAATATTCCACCGCTAAAGGTGGCTAATTAGGGGATGAATGACATTTGATGTCAGTTTTTTAGTGCTCTGTACTGAGATTATATTAATATTGACCAACTTCTGCTGTACCGATTTTTTTCTTTTAATACAATGCAATGATCTTTACATGAAGAAGAGTCGATCAGAATTTTTTTTTAATTAATTATTTTTACTCATTTTTATGGACAACTCACACTTCGTCAAAAAATATACTACGTAAAAATTGTTTTCGCAAGCCTAATGGTTCCTAAGACAGGTTTCCTGTATCTCCTATAGTTTCGGATTTCCCCACACTGTCCCAGTCGCAGAAAACACACTGAATATTATCTTGTATTAGAATTTTTTATCTTCAAACGTTTTTTGACAGAATATTTACATTATTATATTCCGAATACTTTGGATGTAATATGTATAATAAGCTATCCAAGTTCTGAGAACCCGTTTTATTTGTCACTTAAATTAATTACAGTATTATCTGTACCTTCGTCGACGGTAGGGCAGGGTGAACTGTCCATTTTCTTACAAACGAAAAGTCTGGGTTCAATCCCATCTTCGCAAAAAGTGGTACGTAATTCACCAGTATTCACATCCAATATGACGCAGTCCAGGGGCAATGCATCACCTTGTATATTTATTGTTACAAAATGACCTTAAATTAAAGAAAAACAGTAAGTAATTGTTTTTTTAGATAAAATACCCCAAGTCTGATAATTTTAAACAATCTCTGTTGTATGTCGATACGTTTGGTGTTCTGCTAAACGTTGCGAGAAATGGTTTGTCAGTGGCATCGAGTATATAACCAGAAATAGAGACGAAATAAGGGCTATCCATCCCTGACAACTCGCCAGGCAAATGGGCCTTATATAACTTTTAATTATCAACTCTCGTTTGCGCTGAAATCACAAATTAGAAAGCCTAAATAATACAGCGTCAACAACTGACCCGAGTGTACGTCTCCATATATTCAAAAATATTCTGTATTTATTGTAATAAAGACAATATCGGTAACAATGGGGGCTGTTCTATTGGGTGTTGTGGGAAAAACAGCAAAACATCTAATTACAAAACAAACGGAATCACATTTCGTCGGTAATTAAATATGAAATATGTAATTTTGCAATTTCCGTCCATTACAGCAAAGCTCAAGTTAAACTGGTCGTTTTGAAGTGAAACAATTGACGACACCCGTCAATTGTTTCGAATTCGGGCTGGCCAATCGGAGCGCAGTTGTCACAGTAATGATTTGGCAGAATAGTTTTCAAACAGAACACAAAAAAAGAGTTGATATTTAAAAGTGACATAAGGCCGATTTGCCTGATGAGTAGCCAGGGTTGGATGGCCATTATTTCGTCTCTATTTCTGGTTATATACACGATGGACTGAAATAATTAATGAATGCCATCACTGCCATTCCATTGTCACTCCATTGCGACTGAAGTGCTTATTACAATTAGATTTTAGCATAATAATAAATTAATAAATTATTATTATAACTGCAATATAATTTCAGAAGAGTCTCAATGGAATTACAAAGGGTATTTTAAGAAAGTTAACAGAATTGGGGCCCAGATACGTAGTGCATCTTTGGTTTTTTTTTCGTAATCTTAGATACAGAACCAAGACTTTGAGAATCTGAAAATTGAGTTGATTGATCAGTTGAATTCAGATCATACCATCAAGAGTGGTATAATATCCGTTGCCGACTTCGTCACGAATGCCTAGTAAGACGTCTGTAGTATTAGGCGTCTGAGGCATAGCTTTTACAAGATTGTTTATAACTCGCCATTCGCTGTGATCTTTTGGGTAAAATAATTGCGATCCATCATTATCGCAAGCATTCACAGCCTCTTCGAAGGAGTTTCCTTCTTCAGACCATATAAGCTTATAAAAAGCATCGCGTTCTTCAATGTAGGTGTAATCCTTTCTAAAAAAATTAACAGAGAGCGCAGCACTCAGTCCTGAAAAAAAGACGCAATTGTAGTAACTAAAGTGTCTTAGTGACTTGCATCGATCTGTGTTTGAATGTTTGTTTTTTTTTGTTTTGACCAACTGACTCTATCTACGCGATTTTAGAAAGGCTCTCATAGTAAAGTGTTTCGTATGTATGAGTAAAATTGACCCTTAACTTCTACAATGGTTACAAGCCACCGATTCGGTCCCATTTTGATCGAAACAGTCTTTACTGTCGCGGAACTACCGGCGGCTCGGCACACTCAGATGATTGTAAGCCGGATTCATAATGATGGAGTCTACGCATGTTTGAACAACATTTGACCATAAAGAAGTATAAGAAATATTTTATTAAAAAAAAAACAAGACGAGTTGTTTGAATCTGTGCTAAAATTTTGTGCATGCGTTGCGTAGTGCGGTATAAAAACTTTATTTTGTGTTAAAAGTTTCATTTTTGTAAAGCACTGTACCAAATTTCTATTGAATTGATATAAATAGACTTTCTTTAACGCTTTCTATAAATAAATTTCAATGAAAGTAGGAGTATATTTCTTGTAAAAATATGCTTCTAAAAAATCATGACTTTTGACGTTTGTTTTCCGTTTTTACTGCGGTCATTGTAGATAGTTTTTCTACATTACACTTTCTTATGAAACATAACGTCGATATCAATTAAGGCGATGAGGTGCCCAAAATCGCTTAAATGTGGTGTTTTTGTGTAAGTTTTTAGGTGATAACCATAGCACGTGGAACTTTGAAAATAGTACATCCTGTAACACGTATCTTGAAGTATTGCTTGAAGATCCTAGAATATTGCTTATTGTCATAGGTAATACAAAAACTGGATTACAGTGAGACTCTGGTGGTTATTTTTTGACATATTTTTCTCGGGCAAACCAAACTTGCTTACTATCGAATTTGCTGTGGTTATTTAAATGGTACTTATCTTGATCCTGACACTTTATTTGTTTTAAATAAAAGACAAATAACATATTTAGGAGTAAAAAGTAACTTTCGCCTACTTTAATATTTAGCGAATACGAGCTAAATATTTGCTTGCAAATTATGGACAGGCACTTAACAGTATGAAAAAATGTCATACACAAAAAAATACGTAAATAAGTAAATATAATGCACCAATTCGTTGAAATCAAAACAAAATATTTAAAAAATTACAAATTTACCCATTTGGTGAGAATAAAAAATATATATTTTTGGTTGGATTAGAACCAAAAACACAAAGTATTCAAAACAAAAATGAAATTATTGTTTGCGTCTTTGATTATTTAGTAAATATTTAGAAAACTTCTGCTGCGTAGCGTGCGTTCGTGAGATACGTTTCGAGACCTCTGTCTTGACATGGTTTTGACAAATTAATTTATATTGTATTGTAATCGGTTGTCTACCGTCGAGCACGATACTTACGAGATATGTAGTTGGACATAGTTATGCAAACTATAACCAACCCACAAAATGTCACTTTCGAGATAATTAGATTTTTGTAAAAACAGTGTGAAGAAATAAATAGGTAAGTTATTTGAAGCTAGAGATGAGCCGAGTACAAGTTTGCTACTCGGTGTACTCGGCCGAATAACTCGGTTCATGAGAAGAGTACTTGGTTAAAATAAAGCATCACAGCTATAGACGTAATAAAGTAAAATCAACAATATATTTAAAATATTCAAAAGAGATTTATTACTAGAAATTGTAGACAATTGTAACAATTTCTAGCAATTTAGTAATTTAAAAAAAAGTTTACATTCATAATATTTAAAACTTTACAAAGGCAAGTTATGATGTAGGAATATTTACAAGGCTTTCTGCGCGTTCAGGTAATAGTCTGTTCCTTTTTTCTTCATACACATTACCCGCTTCGGCAAATAACTACTCGCTATACACAGTGCTTGCAGGTGCACATAAAAACACTCGTGCTAAAAGTGCCAGTTTTGGATATTTCAAATTCAAATTCAAAATAATCTTTATTTCATAGGTAAGCATTATTACACTTGAAATCGTCACAATATTAAACTCTACCGCTCATTCGTAAGGCAGATTCCAATAAATATAATATTTATAATATTTATATACAATATTTATTTTTTTTATTTGAAACATCAGAGATCGAGACTACCTCCATGAGCTAAACGGGTTACTACCACGGATTTTTGTCATCCAAGTACGCAGAAGTTGTATAATAACCTTTAGTATAAAGTTTTTGTTTCACTATAGTTTTAAACCTCGTGAAAGGCAAATTTTGTATATCAACCGGAATCTTGTTATAGAAGCGTATACATTGCCCCTTAAATGATTTTTTGACTTTGTGAAGACGACTATCAAGAAAAGCTAGTTTATTTCTATTCCTCGTATTAATGTTATGTCTGTCACTATTTTTCATAAATAAATTACTATTCCTTTTAACATAAATTACATTCTCATAAATGTACTGTGAGGCTAGTGTAAGAATGTTAATTTCCTTAAACTTATCTCTCAAAGATACTTTGGGGCCCAGATTGTAAATTGCCCTAACTGCACGTTTCTGCAGGACAAAGATTCTGTTGATATCGGCGGCATTACCCCAAAGCAAATTTTATATTTTATTATTTAATATTTTGTTATATGCTCTGCCCACCATTGGAAAGGACTGTGCTCTCGCGACAATAAACTTTCATTGACACATCGGCCTAATTCTAGAGCAACGGGGGCTTTTAGGATCATCGCGTTCCGGTTATAATGAACCGAGTAACTCGGCCGAGTACTCGGCTCGGCAAATGTTAAACCGATTAATATTCGGTACTCGGTTACTCGGTAAAACTTGTACTCGGCGCATCTCTATTTGAGACAAACGATGTACTGTAGCAGTGAGAACGATATAGGGAAACTATTATATTATATATGCTTTGTTATTTTTTGATTTGATAGCATGTGTGTATTTTAAGTACAACGCCATCTGTTAGCGGCAATCAATATTATGTTAAATCAAGCGGAAGGTCCAGCTACCACACTCTTACCGCATCGGGGCGTATAGCGCCACCTTATTTGAGAAATTATAGTAGGCGCGTTATCACTCAAGGTCATCGACGCAAGGTCGTCGACGCTTGTCAGCGTCTTAAATATTACATCCCTATCTGTAGATTGTCAACTTTTTGCTTTTGTTCCAAGAAGTTGATGTTCATAGGATTTTTAGCTTTATATGACTAGTAATAACAAAACTTTTGGATTCAAATAGGTTTGAAATTATTTTTACCCAATTATAATAATAATTAATTATAATCAATCAAAATTGTATTATCTTAATTAGTACTAACGTTAAGATTACAATTTCAAATGTGTGCGTGTAGCGAGTTTCGATACTAATGTCGCTTGACGCCATTTCCACTCTTTTTTACTTCCGTGGTTAAAAATATTGCAATCTTTATCTAGGGGTCAATATATGGTGGGAATCCAGGGGATGAATTTTTTCGGTTTCGCGCACTTTCCGTTAACCAATTATTAACTTTTTAGTTAGAGTTTGTATGTAAAGACGCTAAGTTTGAAGTCAGTTCCATTTTTTTTTCAGTTGAAAATTCATTTCTAGTTTAGTATGATTATGGATTAGAAATTGTTTTACATTATTTTTAAATGTGTTAAAGTTATTTTCTTCTTGGATTAATATTGGAATTTAATTATAGATTAACATTGATCTGTCTAATGGACTGTTTCTATATAATTCTAATAGGGTTTCTATTAAATTCTAGGGTTGAGGGAAGATCAGGTTATACTGGAATTTTTATTAAATTCAAAATATATTGGTTGCTTACGAACAAACAAGGCTACTTCCATGATGTAAAGAAGAGTGAGAGGGTTAACATGTTTCTTTAATAAAGTCTGATCTAGAACATTCCCCTTGATAGATATTTACAATAAATAATACGGAGATATTTTTGTAAGATAAATAGAAAGCGCATCAGTACTTCTATAGTGCTAGATATTTATATTAAAATGAATACCGAAAAATACACTTACCAGTTATAAATATAATTAGCTTCAAAATCATTGTGTTTGGTTATTTAATTGGATAGTCAACACAAAGTGAATGATAGGAACTCAAGAGAATGCAAATTATATGCTGCTCAACTGCGTACGTCGGGCGCTGGTCGACATCTGATCTGTGTTCAATTTATTATTTATTTATATTAATTTTGAGCGCGCGGTTTGCTGGAGAGGAGAGAGGCACGACCCTATCCCCTCCCCCCTCCACGACGTCATCTCCTACAAATTAGGCTCGAGTTGAAATACCTCGCCTTAACACAATCTCAGGCAAGTTCCTTGCGTACGTATCTTAGGACCATCGCCCATTGACAGATGGGCATGGCAGGGGATCAGGCTTGCCGAAGCATACCGTTGCAACATCGTACTCACGCCCAGTCTCTCTTCAAATCAGAAGTAACGTTGCAAGTTTATTAATTACCAGTTGTATATTTACAAATGGTAGTCTTGCTGAACAAGAAGAAGAATAAAATAATATAAATTACCTTAGAAAGCATGCCAAAGCGTCCCGCAGTTTTGTTTTTGTATTTGCGACCGTTAAAATTGAAATTTCAACAACATTAAGGTATTCATATATAAGCTATTCGTCAGCTAAAAATTCCTTGCCGTGCCGTTCCGTCAGTGGGCTCTGGGCCTTTAATCGGCATATCTTACTTGATCTACATCGTTGTAGTAGACGTCCGTCATGGTGCTGTGTGAGCCCAATCTGTGGGTGCATGCGACAGACGTGTCCAGCCCAGTTCCATTTCAGTTGGTCTTAAAAGAATCTAACTTTCAAATCTGCACTTGAGGTTACTAAACTATATTTTGGTCAACTATGAAATAAAATATACTTTAACTACACACATCTCTATAATGTTCAAAAACCGCGAACTACGACCAGCATAAAGGTAAACTCTTTTGTAGAACAAATTTCTTATCTGTGAAAATGTTATTATAGCTTCCTATTAACATCGAATTCGATATTATTACATTCCAATTTCGAACACCTCTGAAAAACAAAACAATTTGATTTGAGCTCAATTCTAATATCAGACGAAATGAAGTTTTGTTCGAAATGAAATGTCATAGCAAGGCAATTTTAACAATTTCACACGTTACTTGATATCGAACGATATGGTAGTTGGGGCCGATTCTAGTTTGTCTATGAATTAAAAATAAAAACTAGGGTTGTTGACATTCGTGAGAAAAGTTTTTATTTGCCGCCATTTCGCCAGTCGTAACCATTTTCTATATCTATGATCGTAACATGCCTGAACAAATCACAGAGAGCTTCTAATATGTGTGTAGATAAAGCAGTGTATGTAACTGTACATAATTAGGCATTGAAACACTCTTAGAGGTGTTTCATAAACCCACACTCGTATTTTAATGCCTTTCGTTATCTAATAGTCACTTAAACTACTATTAAGTTTAGAACGTAACAATGACTCCTTCTTATATATAATATAGATACTGTACATAATACAGTACACCCTTTAATTATTCCAGATAAGACAAGATACGCAGCCATGTATCTTTGACCTATGGTTATCTATTTTAATATTATTAGGAAGGAGTTATAACAACCTTTTACAGAAGGACTGATTATGAATATCACTAATTACCTACTTTTAATACGAAGTCAGTCGAAGTTTTTGTTGTTCTTATCGACACAGCGATGTCGATGTTTATTTGACCTATGTATGGTTATCAATTTAAATATTAACATGTAGGTCCTTTTTAGTATTTTAATGAAATAAAAATTACTAAGACATTTGTGAGTTGCATTACTTGTTTGCATAGGGCGAAGCCTATTGCAGATTTTTTATATATTTATATCTGCCTAACGAAGTCTACGTTGCGGATTGATTGAGCCTTAAATTAACTTACTTATCTTAAACTTACTTACTAACCTAATCTTAAGACAAATTGTTACTAATTAACGACTAATATTACCATGGATGATGTCTGAAATAAACAATTTTTTTCATGTGTTCAAGGTTTATTACATTTATTTTTTTAATTGCTGAACCAATGATCCAAAAACGGAGATCTGCAACGTCGGCTACGGAATGATGAAGGTGCTGGTTTGAGTCCAACCCAAACGAATAAATTTTTCTTTGTGTTCGACCTTTGTATTAATAATTATAACAAACTACTGGAGTTATTTCACAAAAAGTAATTTAATATGGTGCAGGCATAGAATATAATCATAACTAGAAATAGAGACGAAATGTCATTTGATTTGTTTAAAAATTATTCTGCCAAATCATTACGGTGACAACTGCGCTCCGATTGGCCAGCTCGAATTCGAAACAATTGACGGGTGTCGTTAATTGTTTTATTTCAAATCGACCAGTGCAACTTGAGCTTTGCTATAATGGACGAAAATTTAAAAATTACATATTTAATTACGGATGAAATGTGATTCCGTTTGTTTTGTTATTAGATGTTTTGCTGTTCCCACACCACCGAATGGAACACCCCCCATTATTAGAGATATTATCTTTATTACAATAAATATAGAATATTTTTAGTATGTATATGCATACACACAGGTCAGCTGTTGGCGCTGTACTATTTCAGCTTTCTAATTTGTGATTTCAGCGCAAACGAGAGTTGATATTTAAAAGTGATATAAGGCCTATTTGACTGATGAGTTGCCAGAACGGGTGGATAGCCCTTATTTTGTCTCTTATTTCTCTATTTCTGGTTATATACTCGATGGGTGCAGGTCTACCACTTAACTGAATCGGTTCCTGAGGTAGCTGCGCGATGCGGGAGGAGTGACAGTGTATGAGGAGTGACATAACAGTTATGTCGCGCAGCACGCGGGATAATTTCAACAAGAATTTTCTGACGATATTCAAGAACAAATTGATTGAAAAAATTGCCAAATGGATTTTTATTAATGTTTCACATGACAACAATAGAGTAATTTGTTAGGCACTTTTTTTACCTAAGGAATCGTCATATTCAATATAAGTACTTAACATTTATTTAAAAAAATAAACTTTTGTTTAAAACGTTTGCAACCTTGATGGAACCAACTTATTAATTAAACTGGTCTGTTTGCTTTTATCTTTTCTTTATGCTTTTGTTCGGGTGCATTTGTGATGTGAGAAGTGCAGGCCTTGATGTATGTATTACAACATTGTAGCAGTAGATAACTACACTAGAAACATGTTATTTGTATTTCATAGTTTAGAAGGTTATCACAACTGTTACTAACATAAGTAGTTTACTACAGGTTCTAGATACTTCAATTCGTACAATGTATGAAAATGTGAATGCTAATAATATTATTCTTCTTGTTAACGGATTAAATAAAATTGTAGTTCTCCTTTTAAAGTGGTATTTATTACGGTTGACGGTAATTTCATTATTTTCGTGTAGGTAGCTCATGTACAATGTTAATTTTAACTTCTTCTTTTCATAGTATCGTTGGCATACACCATAATGCTTGTCAATGTAATGAAAGGATTAGGCAACCGGCATAAGGTACTCGACGATTGTTGCCCAGCGTACGCCAGGAATACAGTAAAGGTTATATTTTTGTTCTCCTCTTCTTCTTGCGGACATGACGGAGGTGTAAGGTTCGAAGAGCCGAATTAACCTTTAACGACTGTAGTTACGTTTGGAGAAGGGTTTCACTGAATTTAAATACGTTTTCCAATTAAGACAACATAAAGTACTTATATGACAACAGTACAAAACACTGGAAAGGTGTCAAGCAATCCCAAGGAGCACACTTTATTATTATTAGAGCACTTGGTTCTGAATTGTAAATATACCAGTCCGTGCGTGTTGAGTTCGCGATTCTTTCTCCCGCTTAGGCCGGTCCCCGGTATGAAGCAAAACGAAATCAGCTATTGATAAACAAAGCCGAGCAGTTGGTACTTCCACACCACAACTTACCACTCGTCAACTTTAAATATTAACCATGAATCATGGTTAAGTTCCCTCAAGACTGACCATGCAGGAAGAACTGCCCACGCTTTCGCTCTCACGCATGACTTGACCCAACTGGTAACCCAGCCCACCCGGGTTCCAGACATATCGGATCATGCACCCTCTTTGCTTGACCTTCTGCTCGCGAGTCACCCTACCTACTATACAGTATCAGTCAGCGCCCTCCTGGGAAGTTCTGATCACTGTTTGGTTGGGTGTAAGGTTTCCCAAATGCCTCCAACTAAGCTGAAGGAGGTCACTCGTCGCATTTGGCACTACTCGTCGGCGGATTGGGATGGTATGCGCGACTACTTTGCGTCCATCCCTTGGTTGCAGCACTGCTTTGCGGGAAAGGATGCCTCAGCAGCTGCCGATGCTGTTGTCGATGAGATTGGAACGGCTATGAATTACTACATAACGTCTTCCAGTGTCATCGCCAATCGCAGAGGACGCCCTTGGTTCAATCGCGAATGCATGGACGCTGTCAGTGAGAAACAGGCTGCATATCGTGGTTGGATCAAGGGTCGTGTAACAAAGGATCCCAACCTTGCGTCCCTTAAAGCAGCCTATAACAAAGCAACCAAGTCTTGCAGGAGGGCTTACATAAGAGCGGATGCCCAGCGCGTTTCACGGATTGGCCAGAAGCTGGTAGCCCATCCCACCGGTAGCCGTGCCTACTGGAGCCTGGCCAAAGCCGTGCAGTCCAATTTTTGTCGTTCGTCGCTGCCGCCTTTGAGGTGTCCCAATGGATTTTTGGCCTATGGCCCCGAAGAGAAAGCCAATTTATTGGCCGACCTTTTTGGGGCTAACTCGCGCATTCACGACCAAGATGCGCAACCGCCGTCAATTCCCCACTGCGGAGTCACAATGCCTGATATAGTTATCAGGCAATGTGATGTCCGCAAGGAACTGCAGACTCTTGACGTGCGGAAGGCCTATAGTCCAGATGGGATACCTCCTATCGTCCTTAAAAGGTGTGCGGCGGAGTTGTCTCCCGTACTGACGCGCTTATACCGCCTCTCATACCAATCTGGTAACGTGCCCCTAGCTTGGAGGGAGGCCAACGTGCAACCTATCCCCAAGAAAGGAGATCGGTCTGATCCGACAAACTATCGCCCAATAGCTGTCACTTCAGTGCTCTGCAAAGTGATGGAGCGGATTCTAAATATCCAGATAATC